CCCCTCGCAGCCCCCCGAGACCGCACGCGGGGCCGCGGCGTACCTGCGCCCCACACCCCGGGTCCTCGCGCAGGTACACGCCCGGGGACTGGGCGTCCTGGAGGCTGCCGGAGGCCACCTCGGCCAGCAGGTCCCGCAGGCTCTCGTCGGGGCCGCACACCTCCGCGGCCGACACGCGGACGGAGAAGCGGGTGCCCGTCCTCTCCTTGCGCTCGTCGATGAGCCTGAAGAGCCAGGAAATGGCGCAGGGCACGACACCCAGGCTCTGAGGCGAGCTGTCCTTCCCGATCATCGTGTAGGACTTGCCTGGGGGCCACGTGGGCGTGTCAGGGCCCCCCCACTCAGCCCGACATGCCCTGGGAGCCCAGCCACACCCGGCCTCCTCCCTGGACCTGCCCCGGGGCCCTCGGGGCCGACTGGGGGCCACTGAGACCTAGGGGGCCTCCTCCAGTCCAAGGCCCCCTGCCCTCCAGGACGACAGGGTTTGGGCTTTCCCTCCGTGCAGCCCCCTCCCCACCGGGAAATGAGGCCCAGAGACTGCAGAGAGGGGATGAGGGGGGGATGCTTACCAAGGCTCATGTGGCCAAAGGAGAAAATGCAGCCATCAGCCCCCCCGACCACTGCCTGGAGCACGTCAGCCACTGTCCCGGAACAGACCTCAGCCTGCGAGGGGGGGCCCCGGGTGTCAGGAAGGCACCAGAATCGAGGGAGTCGACACCCAGCCTCCCACCACGCCTGTCTGTCCCCAGCTCACAAGGTGGCCAGGCCGGCACGCACAGGACCGAGGACACAGACCTCCACGTGCACACGGGACGCACACGGATGGGATACAGACACACAGCGCACAGGGCGTGAGCCGCCAGGCACACAACTCACACCGCCGTCGTGGAGACCACACCACACCCCAGGCGCTCACGCACACCTCGCACACAAGGCTTCCACAGAGCCCACCAAAAATCGTGCACTTCCCCAGGCCAGCAGCAGAGTCGGAGACCCCCTGGGCCGGGGCCAAGGAGGAAGGAAAAGCAGAAGGCGCTGGGCCTGGGCCGCTGGCCTCGCTCTTGCCGCCCTCCTCCTTCCTCGCTGGGCACCAGGAGCAAGCACAGGCCCGGCCCCAGCCCCGGCCCCGGGGGTGCCCGCCGCCCTCACCTGCTCCGAGTCCTGGGGGAAGACCGCATCGAAGGCAAACATCTTAGGAGCCACAGCGGCGGCTCGTCGGGGGCCCGAGCTTCCCGGGGGCCCGGCGGCCGGGTCGTACAGGGTCACCTGCTTCTTACGCGGGTCCACCTTCAGGAAGGACGTGGGCTCGGCCGAGTGCTGCGCCCCCTGTGCCGGCCAGATTCGCAACATGACCTTCACCTGGCAGGGGAGGCGGGAACGGGCATCTGAGCAGCCGCCCGCCCAGCGGCCGCTAATTACAAGGCAGGAGGAACTCGCGCGAGTTGAGACAGCGGGCCAGGCCCCGGCACGGGGATCCCCACCGCAGGAATGTGGATGCCTGCACCCCAGCTCCAGCCGGAGCAGATCCCGTAAGAGATCAGCCAGGCAGGCAGAACGCGAGGCTCAGCGACAGGATGGGAGCCTGGTGTGGGGGCAGTCAGCACAGGAGGAGGAGCAGGGGCCAGGACAGGGGAGCACGGAGTCAGGGAGCACAGGGTGGAGGAGCATGGGGTCGGGGAGGACAGGGCGGGGGAGGGGGTTGGGTGGTGGAGGACAGCAGGGGGAAAAGTCAGGAGTGGGGGAACAGGCTTTGGATGCCCCCGTGAGCACAGGGATGGAAGTATGGCACCACAAGTGCACCCGCCTACCCTCGATGTGGGGTTTCTGGCCCGCTCACTGACTCCGATGCAGAGCTGGAAGCTAAGCGAGCTCAACCCGGAGTCACAGAGCCCCTGGGACCAGAAGGAGCCCCTGGCACACACACGGCGCGGCTCTCGGCCCGGCGACCCCCTCCCAGGCCCACCTCCATCCCAGGAGGGAGGAAACACTGACAGGTCACACAGCCTGAGACCCAATCCCAAACTGAGGGCAGAGGGAGAAGGAGGGAGGGAGGGGCAACCAGTACAGGCCGCAGGCACAGCCACCCCCCCGCCGAAGGAAGATGCACAGGCCACACTCCTGCCCACGGAGCCCGGCCCCGGGGTGCTGCCCCGCACCCCCACCTCAGCGGCCCCAGGTCAGCAGGCCGTCGAGTGCAGCTCCCAGGAAAGCAGGCGCGGGATGGGGGCTGGGGCAGCCCCCCAGCGAGGATTCCCTCCCCACGGCCAGAGCAGGGCGGCCCCAGCCCCCATGTCGGTCCAGCCTCTGCCTCCTCCAGGGAGCCCCTGCCTCGAGCTCCTCAGCCAGGGTCCGGCACAGGGAGAGGAAGAACAAAGGCACAAAAGGGGGCTGGCTGGAGAGCCATGATGCCCTGGGAGGGGAAGCTGGGGGAGCCAGCCGGGACCCAACCCAAAACCCCACACACTGGCAGGGTCCCGGCCAGCAGGAGGACACGGTGATCCTCCCCAAGAAAAGGCTCAATTCTGCCAGGAGGCGTTGGCGACACTGAGGCCTGGCCAGGCGGCCACAGGTGGGGGAGTAGAGGAGAAAGAAAAGGGCAGGATGGGGGAGGGTGTTCGCCTGGGGGCTCTGGCAGGTGACCGCGCAGCCTCAGCTCCCACGTGACCCTAAAACCAAAAATAGACACAAAGGTGTGCCCCCCACCCCTGTGCCGGGCTCCGCGGAAGACTGGCATCCGCACAGCTGGACCAGCAGCCCCGTCGCCCCCAAGGGAACAGAGGCTCAGCGGGGAGGGGGGCCGGGACCTGGCCCCAAGAGCCCAGCGCAAGCTGCACTGCAGACACCCCAAAACCTGCGTGGAGAACAAACACCCCAAACTACATCTCGTGCAGGGCCGTGACCACGATGTGCCCCCCGTGAACTGGGGCGCCTGCTGGGAGGGGCGCCAGACCCCACTTTCTGCTGAAGGACACCACCTTCCACTCCCCAATGAAGTCTTCGATTTCTCCGCCACAGCGTAAATCAAATTACCAGACTCATTTCAGAGCCAATATCTTTCACGGATTTAATTGTAAGTGACAGATACATACGCGGGCAAGATTGGTTTACTGTGGGTAGTTCCGCGAGGCCCGTCTTCTCCCCTTCAGCACGTGGCAAATTGACATGCAAAATCGCTCCAGGAAGGGGGGGTACGTTCTCAGGGGAGAAGCGGAAAGAAAACACTTTTCTGCTGCACTCCCCGAACCTGGGCTCCGTCGGGCGAGAATCGATTCCTTTATTCCCCGACGACACGAACAAAACTATTTCATTTCCAAATGCCGCTGCCAAGCAGACGACAACGTGCACTTCGCGGTAATTTCTGGCAATTTTTTTTTCCAGCATTGAACTCCTGGCCACTTCAGGAGCCAAATGGGCTGTGCAGATTGGAGGGGGTTCCTAGGGGGTGAGGCCCTCCGCCTGGGCTCCTGCAGGGCAGCGACATTCATCCCCACTCAGGGACCCACAGCCTGGCCTGCGGGGAGGGCGCAGAGCGGCCGCCCAGGGCCGTCGCCCTGTCCTAGCCGAACGCACAGGCCATTGTCTGCAAGGATCCTGTCATCACAGCCAGGAAATGACAGGGTCTTTGCACCAGACAAGGGCATCAAGTCTCTTCCCCAAATGTTCAGATATTACAAAGAGCCGCGGAATGCTGCCAGGTAGGGAAAAAACACGTTTTGCATAAAAAAGGGCTTCCACTCCTAAGAGGTGGCCCAGGCGGGGCGAGGGGGGAGGGGCGCCGCTCAGCACCCACAGAAGCGATGTCTTTTTTAATACTGCAAGATGATGAATTACCTTAAGTAGCACATTAATGTCAGGAACTGAGTGTAATCTAACTTCTTTTCTGTGACAATATTAAACGCCTTTCAAGAGGCATTTCTGACTATGCGACATTCGTGCAAATAACAGCCCGGGAGCCAGGGAGGGGGCACTGGGTGGGCAGTGAGTGGACTGGGGGACAAGGGCTCCATGTGGAGGGACGGGGGCAGGGG